ATATTTATTTATTTTACGTGAAATATTGTACGTGGACTCACCCAACGTAAAAATAAAAATATAAACATAATTATAGTGTAAATATGAATATTGTTTACATTTGCAAATGGCACCAATAGGCCTATTACCCCAATGTTTAACACACTAAAATAATTGCTGAACGAGGTCCATACTAAAAGGAAACAATTGTTAATTACTCCAAATCAATACATTAACATTAAATAGTACTTCAAATGTCGATACCACGATTGGTCGTCACAATTACTATTACTCCCTCGCCTCGTGGTTTAAAAAAACATGATAGTACAATAACATCATTTATTTAGTTGATTGCTTCCGTGTTGATCATTTACTGCAATTCATGCGAATTCGTGTTCTGTCCCGTTCAATTAGCCTGATTATTCATACACGTTTTAAGTACAATTCCACAGTTTTCCATGATGGGTGCCTATGGTAATGTTCCTTCGCGTTGTTTGGTTCACCTGATACCAGTGTAATTTGTGTTTGTGCTATGGTTGATTAGTTTGTTCTTTTTCGGATAAGTATAATGTTGTCGGTCTATTTAGCAACAAAGTATTATACGTTGGAGGAATTTCATCTATTCTTCTGATAGTTATTGAAGTTAAAATTTCTTCCACATTTAAACTATAACAATCATTCAGATTGTAACAAAAGAAACTTACGTATAACAGTTCCAGAGGGAGCACAATAACAGTCCCTTGTATACGATCAATTGTTTAGACACCACACCAAGACTCAGGGTCCCCCAACGCCAGACCTGCTGAGATTTGCCGACATATTCATCAGTCGGCAAGCTGGAGATGTAGATTTCTACATTTTAGTATTTGAGAATGATAGCTGATAGCCACCGAAACTGTCATGCGTGAGTTTTTTGTTTTGTTTTGTTTTTTTTTTTTTTGTAGTCTAAATAGAACTTTTAACGTCAATAACCTGAGTTGGCATTTATATTTACTTTGTATTGTTTGACAGTTAATTATTATTTTTGCGTTTTCCTATTAATTATTAACACAATTTTTAATAATTATTTGTTATTATTATTGTTAGAATTAGTATATAGGCCCAGTATTTATAGTACAGTATTTATAAATATTGGTGTTTTATAGTGAATGTGGTATTAAGATTCTAAATCCTGTTTATAATCGTTCTATACTTTACGATGAGTGTAATATAAATATAATAGTACTCATTTAATTAACTAATATAAATATAATAATGCCAAATTAATTGATTAATCTTCAGGGACCCTTTAAATTTCATGTCGATATGGTCATTATCCCGGAAATGGCTCAACGTTGTAATACACCACACCAGTTTACAAGCTATTATAAAGCAGCGAACAGTCATTAATATGGTAAGGTATTGTGGCTAGTTCTAAAATAACAGATAACAAAACTACAAATGTCATAAATATTTTCCTTCTCAAAATCGATTATTTCATTATAAAGAAGTCACAGTACTGTATATACACCTGATAACTGCATTAAAGGTGGTAAAATTTCCGGAGTGACAGGGTTTTTTAACTGCAGTGCACAGGAAGATATCACCTGCGGGTTTAATTAGAACTATAATTCAATCGGTAGGGACTATACATATCGGTGATAGTGGTGTGGTGGCGCTTTGTATTCTCATAAGTTCATACTGTATTTATATATCATTAATAACGATAAAATTTCTAGCTGTTCCATATACTGCAGAGAAACATGTGACAGTTATAGAAAATTAGACTCTTGTGGTAATACTTTATACATACATAAATGATAAACGGTAAAGGAGAGGAATCTGCGACTGTGAAAGAATTTCCCGAACCGGGATTATGATACCTGTTTGTTAGTTTGGTCAGTCGCAAACCTGAACAAGGATTTGGTAAACTATATAAATCAATATATCAATGAATGATTTCAATCTATATTATCAATGAATGATTTGAGTGCAATGCTATGAATTTGTATTATTATATTATGAAATTTAAATTATAGTTCCAATTATCAAAGTTGTGAAAAAAATATTATAGTTTACATTATGAAAACCTGAAAATTATAATTGTCACTTTTTAATCATTATCACTCTTCATAGTGAGCATTCTACGTGAATGTAATATCTTGAGCTCTCTGTTCTGCTAAAAGCACACAGAGGGATCAAAGGCATGCGTTTGGCGTTATAAATTATATTAGAAGGATTAATGTACTTTTTAAGTAGGGCTAACTGTCAAACTGATGTTTGGAAATCCTCAAACATCAAATAATTCAATAAGCTATCAGCTTCTAATAAGGCAAAGATCAGAATTCATTGATATTCGCTGATAGGCACTACTACTATGCATAGTCCTGGCGGGAGGTGTTTAAGGAGATGTCTAATGGCAAAATATTTGGATTGAAACTCATTTTATTAATTATAAAGTCTCCGCTGACCAATTTCAATACTATAATATTTCAAACTGCATACATGTACTGTACTGTAATATAGTGATGATACTTTAAATTCACTAATGAATGAATCATCTACTGCATTCGATTGATAATTTGAATTGATTGAGGGCGCCCTTGCAGTTAACGGTGTCGGTTATTTAGCCGAGTACTTTTTTTGCTCATATCCGGATATTTTGCTGTCTATGGAAACTGAAGCATGTAGGCTCTGCATTCACCTGCACATGGAGTATAGTTTTCAATAGAGCCTAACATAATGAATGATCGTGATTTCCTTCCACATTCACTGACGGCGTCACCTGTCCGATTTGATTGTTACATTTTTCAACGATCGTAATAAAAAAAAAAAGAAGATGCTCACTGCCTTCATTGCTTTACTGTAGACATAAGCCTCGCACCCCTCCTCCCGCTCATGCAGGTCCCCTCCAGTCGGGGAGAAAACTCACTTCCTCGGGGGAATTAAATAATTATATACATAATTTACATAGGCCTATCTTGTAGACCCTCAAATCGAATAAATAAGCCTATGAAAACCCTTGTCATAGTTTCTTGGGCTACGCCTCCTGGATCACTTCCTAGAGATTTTGACCGACGCCCGACCACGCCCACTGATGCTTATCGCTGTTAGGCAATCCTGGCGCCACCCTGCTCCCTCCTCCATGCATTAGGCCTACTTATTACTATCCAATCTTCAATTACTAGGGCATTCATTCAATCGTGCCTGGACTACTGCAAATCTTTATACACCGGAGTATACCATACATAAAGAGCATGCAAAATAAGATTTGTGTTCGCCATGCCTCCTCAAACTCACTCATCCCCTATTCTAATTATATTATATTGACTTCCTGTGCGTCATCGTATCACTTTTAACGTTCTTCACCATTGCTTCAAGTGCCTGCACCAATAGTTTTTATTTATTTTTTTATTTTTTTACTTTTTTGGTTGATAACTGTCAACAACCATAAGTATTTGATTGTTTTTCGTTTAACTCTGAATAAGGGCGCTTTGTACCCTATGGAAAAGGCGCGTGACGAAATGCGTGACCATTACATTACCAGTCAGACCATTACATTACCAGTCAGACCCTTTCGATACGCCACTAAACATTGGATATTGATAGTCAAAAGCCAGGCACTTACTGCGCCCGACGGTAGTCGGCTGACGCGATTATTTAGAACGTAACGCCACGTCGCGCGCGTAACGGATCGTTTTAATGACGATCCGTTCAGACAGCCATTTTGATGCTTTGCTTTATTCTTTCTTTTATTGGTTTTCTGCCGATTTTACTAATAAATAACTTCATAAAAGAATAAATAATCTGGTTACTCTAACATGAGACAGAATTATAGAATGGAACAGTGTCCAAAGGGATTCGGTGGCTGTGGATACATACGCGAAATTGCCAATCAAAAGAGACAAATATATAGTTGCTGCTTATTAGTGCACATAGGCCTAGTTTTCAATTATTAGCAGGATAATATATATTATATATATTATATTATATATATATATATTATATTCTATTATATATAATAATAATAAAAATAATAATATCAATAACAATGATAATAATAATAATAATAATTATTATTATTATTATTATTATTATTGTTATTGTTATTTTTATTATTTTTATTATTATTATTATTATTATTATCATTGTTAGTGTTATTATTATTGCTATTGTTATTATTATTATTATTATTATATTATTATTAATATAAGGCCCCTATCAATAATATAATGAAATTATACCGTAGGCTATGATCGCACAATATTCAATATCGTGTAGTTCAGTTCGACCTACATAGCATGAACACAAATCAATCTGTTTAGATAATGTCTTTATTTACGATAAGTATCACTAGCTTTCCGTGGTTAAAGCGACTCCCTTACGACCTGTTGTTACTCTTGCGCTTCAAACTAAATTCATTCTCAACGAATGCAAAAATAAGTGTGGATTCACACCGAATCCGAATTTTCAGATTTGTGTGAGTCCTGTTGCTCGCGGCCTCTGGTAGTCAATCGTAGGATGAAAAGTTCATGTCCGTCGTCAGCCGCACAATGGCTAATCATTTCATTGTCAGCCAACAACATAATTATTTTCATATGATTTGATACACGTAGGCT